TTTTTTGACAGTTCAGCATAAATGTCACAAGTGCCAACTTGATAAAAGATGAAAATGGACTTAAGCCACTTTCAAAATAAACGACTCATTCAAATCTAAAACACACGAGAATTTGGGGTACAGTTAGGATGAGAAGATCTCTCCGCCATCTATCTCCGAATAAAGAAATATTTATTCATTTAAATATAATAATATAATATCAAAATCACTATTCTCTTATTTATAATAATATAAAAAGAAACACAGAACGCAACTTTCCGTTCCGTTATCGTTCCTTTCTCTCTCGCTAATATTTACATGAATTGTTTCTAGTCCTAATGATGAAGGTGATGTCGTTGATGATGATATGTTAAATAATTTCACTAGCGTTATCCCTTTGCTCCCTCAGCACCGTGTCCAACGTTTTGTACACGTTCTCCGGAAGGTGATCGAGTATCATCCGGGGCATCACCTTCAGATCCATGAAATCCTCCGCCGTGGCCCATCGCATCTCGTAGCTCGGACCACCTGTACCCGCCTTCCTGTTTTTCGCAAAACATTAATTAATATCAAGAATTCGTTCTCACTTTTGTTAAACAAACTTTTCCGCTTTGGTTCTCTTCCTGCTGACGATGTGCAGTATCCTGCCGGGCGTGTATAAACGCGTCTTCGAGAATCGTCTCACCGAAATGTCCCTGGACAGAAGCGCCGCCTCCTATAAACCAAACAAAACAATTAAACCAAACTCATTGCTGTTGCCATTGACTACAGTTTACAGTTGTCGCGGCGACCGTCGGTATTTCTCTGTGACCAAGGAGAGGCGAAAGACCCGGCGCTCGTATCGACGAATCGTCGCGCCACGTCGACTCCAGATCACTAGGAGGCACCCCGAACAGGGCGTAACCGCAACCGTTCAGCAATATCCGATACTAAAAAAACGAATTATATTATCAATTACTAAATTGTCAATCAATACCTTTGGTAATTTGCTAGCGTGCAAAGTCTGTATGACGCCTGTCCTCAGATTCTCCACGCTGTCCACGCCGAGACGCATCACGAAATCATCTCCGACGCCCACCGTGAATATGTAACTCTCCGTCAATCTCGCAGCCTCACGACTCAAAACGCCAGCTGAAAAAACGACATTCATGGAATCAATATGTAAAAACACGTCGTACTTGAATGGGTTTTCGTTTTAAACAATTACCTGGAGTCGCGAAAGCGTAGACCTTGAGTTCGGGGTACGAAGGTCTGATTTTGATGGCGAGCAGAGCGGCGACGCCAGCACCCAACGAATGCCCGGTGAGGACGAGTCCGTACTCCGGGTACTTGTTCAGCGCTTTCTCCAGCACTCCCAACTGCTTCAATCGCTTCGCCACGAATTCCGCTCCGATTTTCATACCCTTGTGCGCCGTCGTGTCCGCTGGCAAACCTTCAGCTTCGAAGCGATCCGAGGTGGCGGTGAGATCCGTGAACAGATCCCTCAGCGAAATCGAACCTCTGATTGCAACGACGATGTTCGATGTTTTGTGATCGGCAATCACGCAGAACGGAAGCTACGAAATGGAATAGTGAGTTGAAATTGAAGATGATTGATAATTTTGTAGATTTACCTCGAAGACGTGGTTTCTGAACGACGCGAACAGAATGTCCTCACCACGCATCTTCGACATGTACTTCACTCCGGCCAGGTTGCAGAGGCAGCAGTTATCTTCGATGACCATCGTCGTTTTGGCGCGGAAGCAGGAGCAGCAGGTCACCTTCGTCATCAATCTGAAGAAGCCGGTGGCGCAGTAACGGTACATGACGAAGGGCCAACCGTACGCGGCCATCGACAGACGCAGGAAGTGACGCGCGTGCTCCAGGTTCATCCATCTCGGCGCCACCGAAAAAACCCTATTCAAATCTGTACGCAAAACAAGGGATTATTTTTTATGCTCTATTGGTATTACGTCAGCGTTTTCCAAACTGTCAGGCGCGCGTGTTTTCATTGATTTACTCGAAAACTATAATACATAGAATGAATACAACATATGCATATGAAAGCTGAATAATTACAGCCAAACGGCTAAAACCAAAGTAATATATCGATACTTCCTAGATTCCCCAAACATTCAGCTTTCATATGCATCTTTCGGATTAATTCTATGTATAATAGAAACGGAATTTTCAAGATGAAACGATAAAGTTTTCGAGTAAGTCACTGCTTTTTCGAGCATTTTTTAAACTTTGAACACGAATTACAGCCAAACGGCTAAAACCACAGTAATATATCGATACTTGCTAGATTCCCCAAAC